CTCGATAAAACGAAGGGCCAAGGGACTGGGGTTTTTTCGCTATAACGAGGAACGTTATATCGAGGTTGTTTACCATACATTTGACTATTCCTGGCGTAAAGAATATCGTTCTATATACTTTGTTATATTGAGGTCCGTTAAATCGAGGTTTCACAGTATCATGATTTTACAACCCCCGGGCCACTTTCAATTTTTTTCTCATCCTGATTTTCTTTGATTCGTTTTTCTGTTCTAGGATCTAACTTACAAGATTATTAACTATACCAATGACGGTATTACACGAGATGAACAACAACAGATCTTCCGCAGCGCGTTGAACTTGTGGCAGTCGGCATCCAGGTTACGATTCACAGAAGTTAACTCGGATGAGGCAGATATTCTTGTGAGCTTTGTCACGAAGACTCACGGAGACGGATATCCATTTGATGGGGAAGGGGGGACACTAGCACATGCGTTCTACCCTCACAACAACGAAGGTAAGGAATCTTCTTAAAAGATTACCCGAGAGAAACGTTCGCGTGAAAGTACCAGGGATGTTCGTTGGCAAATTTGGCATATAATCCTCAAAAGGATACCAAAATTTCCGGGATCATAGCAAGAAAGTTTCATACGGAGAGGCTCCACCCCGTGGTCCAAACTCTTACATTGATATACAGAAAGGGTGACCTTAATTTCACCTTCTGCAGAAAATGGTTCTCCTTTCTGCATATACGACCTGCAGTGAGCACGCTCCATCCCTTTTCTATAACTCGGATTGAATAACCCCGCATATTTTGAAGGGGCCTTTTGAATAACTAAATAGCAGTTGCCCTACCCTAATCTATTTTGCAACTCGTGAAATCCTCACTCTTTTGTATATCTCCCGCCTGGAAAGGTACCACTTTCAGACGATGCATATCCCTCTCTCTCTCCTTATGTCCATGACAAGGACAGAGAGAGAGAGAGAGAGAGAGAGAGAGAGAGAGAGAGAGAGAGAGAGAGAGAGAGAGAGAGAGAGANGATTATTAACTATACCAATGACGGTATTACACGAGATGAACAACAACAGATCTTCCGCAGCGCGTTGAACTTGTGGCAGTCGGCATCCAGGTTACGATTCACAGAAGTTAACTCGGATGATGCAGATATTCTTGTGAGCTTTGTCACGAAGACTCACGGAGACGGATATCCATTTGATGGGAAAGGGGGGACACTAGCACATGCGTTCTACCCTCACAACAACGAAGGTAAGGAAGTCTTCTTAAAAGATTACCCGAGGGAAACGTTCGTGTGAAAGTACCAGGGATGTTCGTTGGAAAATTTGGCATATAATCCCCAAAAGGATAGCAAACTTTCAGGGATCATAGCAAGAAAGTTTCATACGGGGAGGCTCCACCCCGTGGTCCAAACTCTTACATTGATATACAGAAAGGTTGAATTTAATTTCACCGTCTGCAGAAAATGGTTCTCCTTTCTGCACATACGTACCTGCAGTAAGCACACTCCATCCCTTTTCTGTAACTCGGATTGAATAACCCCGCATATTTTGAGCGGGCCTTATGAATACCTAAATAGCAGTTGCCCAACCCTAATCTATTTTGAAACTCGTGAAATCCTTACTCTTTTGTACATCTCCCGCCTGGAAAGGTACCACTTTCAGACGGGTGCAGATCCCTCTCTCTCCTTATGTCCATGTTAAGGAGTACTCTCCCTCTCTGGGCCAAAATATAAAATTCGTCTAACATGTACAGGAGCGAGTGGATTAACGGCTGGAAGCCGAAACTTTAGATTTTTGGATCGATGGAAGAAACTTCACAAGAGTTTCCGTTTTATACTTGATGGTGAAATTTGTCTGAGCTTGAATCAACATAACCAGATAAAATATATCTAGCTGGTGTTATCGTAATTCCACTTACGTGATCCGTTTGTTTTCGACCATAGCGAAAAAACGTAAACTATGACAAGCAAATCATGAAATTCCTCACGCTCAAGGTGTATAGCATAACCTTTTGGAATGAAAGGGGTTTGCTGTACCTAAAATTTTGGGGATTTCTGAAATAACTGAAGAATTTCTTCCAAACTCATGTGTGCTGTCATTTTATTTCCCAAAGGCCTCTCCGGTGACGCTCATTTTGATGACGATGAAAGATTTACAACAAGAACGAGAGACGGTATCAATTTGGACTGGGTGGCGGTTCACGAGTTTGGACACAGTTTGGGTCTGGAACATTCCAGCGTGTTAGAATCCATCATGTACCCTTGGTACAGGGGATATGTCCCGGATATAAAGTTGAACGATGATGATGTCAAGGGAATACAGGAGCTTTATGGCGGCAAGTGTTCAGTTAATCATGAATTATAAAGGCTAACAAATAAACGGTTTGTGAGTAGTTACGTAAATTCAGAAGTAAGATAAGATCAATAGAAGTTAAGTAGCATTTCTTCTTGTTAACCCACAGAACTTTCAACGATTACCACTGAAACACCAACCACCACAGAACCACCAACTACCACAGAACCACCAACAACGACAGAACTACTAACTACCACAGAAACACAAACTACTACAGATCCACCAACTACCACAGAATCACCATCATCTACGGAACCGCCAATTACCACGGGGCAACCAAGTACCACAGAACTACCAACTACTGACCTGACGACAGTGTTACCTGCAACAACAACAATTGCACCAAACACAACTGACACACCTTCCACTAAGGTGAACCCCTCGGGTCATCCCGCGTGCTCCCCAGGAACTCGATACGACGCTGTGTTCGTAGACGATTTCACGTACTTCTTCAAAGGAGATCAGTTTTGGACGGTTAACAATGTTCTACAAAAAAGCGAACCCAAACAAGTGAGAGATTATTGGCCTGACGTTCCAACCCCAGTGGACGCTGCCTACTGTAACAAAGCAGGTCATGTTATGTTTTTCAAAAGCAAAACGTAAGTGATTTTATTCTGGGAATAATTGATAATCGGTGTTTGATTTTCCTGACATTGTCAATAGAAGATCATAGTCAGGCTAAGTTAAAAGAATTTAGAAGCTCTAAGTGGCTTAAGAGAACGTTGGTTTTCCTTGTTTACCGTGCTTGACACTCAAACTGAGCTAAAATGAGACACTCTCTCTCGTGTTTGAAAATCCTTTTTAAAAGTAGGTAAAAGTGTTCATGAAATAGCTCAGATTCCCAAGACTATAGCTATCTTTCACCACCATTGCATCACCACCGCGCTTTTATGCCGTACTCATTTCATAAAAGTAATAACTAAACCTCCTTTTTTATATCTTGACAATACAACGTCATTTCACTCCCTTGAAGGGTTATCAGAACCCCATCCTGCAGCAAGTTCCTCAACTATAACTTATCAACAAGAATAATAAAATTCTAGCTTAGACCAACAACATACGCTGAGGCAAGCGTCAAAGGGAATAAGAAATGAAAGATGACATTAATCTATTTGTGTGGCGAGTTTGCCAAATTCTCACTGTAGGAAACAACTGAGCATTTCTTGAATTATGTCTTGAACTATTTCCACCCACACCCTCTGGAGTCAGATATTCTACAGACTCATGGATGCTTAGCAAATCAGAAACTGCGTTATCTATCTAATTCCTCTTTAACATTTTCCACAGTTTCTGGGAATACGATGGCAGACGCCTATTAAAGAGTGGATCCGTTCAGGATCGGTATGGTTTCCGACGCTTCGGTAAAGTGAACGCAGTCGTCACCTTCCAGGGAGATCACATGACCTACTTTCTCAAAGGCACAAAGTACTGGCGCTACAATGAGGCTACCGGGAAAGCAGCCAGCCGTGACCCAAGACGGATTCGTGGAGCTTGGCGAGCTGTAAAAAATCTTGACGCAGCGACAACATGGATCAACAAGAAGGTTTACGTCTTCAAGGGAGTGTATTATTACAAGCTGAAAAGCATCAAGAATGGAAATATTTCCGTGGACAGGCGGTACCCCCAGCGTATTGCTAGAAGGTGGATGCGCTGCCCGAAGCAAGGGAAAGACCGTGAGATGTCCATCGGAAGCCTTGAGTCTGAACCCTAGACTGGAGGATCTATAATGACTGGCTACAAGTCCATCTTCAGCAAGCCCGCTGGTTGATTAGCTGATAGAGCGGTTTTCACCTGAGTGTCAAAAATAATTCGCATTTGCTATAGTTTTGCATTGCCACGCTAAGCGACTGGCGTATAAAAATAGCGTCAATTTGTCATTTAATCAGAAGTAAAGCCAAAAGCAATCGTGAGTCGCTAGCGCTCCCACACGTTTTCCCGCGCTTTGCGTCAGCTGTATTTGCTTTGGGTTTTGATGGGCTTACTGGATCGTCTTTGTTTATTTTGATTGGCAAGAGTGACAACTTTAGTTTTGGTTTTACGACATTCAAATGAAAACTGCTCTTAGTTGTTCTAGAGTTGGAATCATTTTATTTTACCAGGCGAATTATACAGCGTCAAAATAAATCATAGCCAGTGTTTTTTATATTTTCCCCACTTCCCTTAAAATAAAGGCCGCGGTGGCCCTATGCCGTGAGCTTGCTGGACACTGAATTGAAAGATCCAAATCCTTACCGCGTTCATTGCGTCGGGACATTTCACTCTCGCGGTACCTGTCTCCAACCATAGATGTGGAAATGAGTTCCCGCGAATTTAATGCTATAGAAATTTCGGAAGAAGCTCCATCAGCTCTGGCACGTAGCCCGACACAGACTGTTTTTGTAATCTCTTCTTTATTTGACTACCCTGTTTTTTTTTCCTATATACTTTGATGACATGGAGTCATCGAAACTTTTTCTGATTTGTTATCGCGGACTTCCATTTCCAAATGCTTGAAGTGAACAGGAAAAAGACTTTTTAGTTAGTTTATAATAATAATAATACGAATAATAATAATAATAATAATAATAATAATAATAA